TTGAGGGCTGGTGAGAAGGAAGAAAGCAGCTGGAGGAGGTAACGGGATGGTCGTCGTTCTGTCTCTGACTGCTATTGCGTTTTTGAGTCCGTGCTTGAAAAAACACCATCCCCGCCCTCCCCCGCCACCATCGCAGCTGATTATGACAGGAGATGAATTGTTAAGCCGCGTTGCAGGTGCCGAGCGCATTCCTGGAGACTCGCTGAATGATTTATATAAGGTGCCGTTGCTTCAAAGTCCATTTAAACTTAGTCTTTTCCTCCTATTTTCTCTTAATGGAGCCCATCAGCTCGTCCAGCCCCTTTGCATGCATGGCAACGACTATAAATTCCCATTTACATTCCGGATGGCGGCTGCCACGGCAGAGGCTGCACTTAACGAGATGAATCGGGATGGCTTTTAAATGCCAGCGACCGGCGTACTCTGATTCATGTCGCCCCGCAGGGTCGCCGTTTAGGTTTGCCCACCATTATCGTCCGTGTAGCTTCTAACTGTCATCGGTACCACCGACGTTCTGAGTGCTGGATGTTCTCCGGGGCAGCGGGATCCACGCTGGGACACAGGCAGGGGCCTCGTAAGAGGGGGAGCAGGTGAGTGACAGGGGCCCTAAAAATTTGGAACATAATTGGATTGATGTGAGGTGGAAGTCCAATATAATATTCTTTCATGGGGTCCAAAATCTCTAGCTGCACCCCTGGACCCAGACAGGTAGCAAGGTAAAGTAAAGGGTTTGAAACCCTCAAATTTGTTTGCTAGCGTGATCACGCACGTATCCAGGTAGTAAAATGACAAGCTTGAACTCCCTTGAAATTTGCTGCTGCCCTCCAGTCAGCAAAATATCTACCTACGTATCGTTCAAATACCCCCCCCCCCCACAAAAATAAAATTAATTCTGCCAACAGGCCTCTTGGGACCAACAGCATTAAGGCCATAGACACAGAATCAGAGTTTCCCTCAACACCCCACCAGGGGTCCTCGTAGATGTTTTATTGTTGTTATTGCAAACACAACAAAACTGTCAAGTGAAGGAGTTCCATATAAGCGGAGCTGCTTACACAATCTGCTGCACTTCATTTACATTGCCTTGCTAATTTAATGGTCAAACAAACAATGCATAATGTCTTTCCAATGCCACAGTCTGACCGTACAGGAATACAGCACTACACGCATGGATGCCCTATAAAACCTCATTTATTCTCAGATTTCCACATTATGGCACACATAATGAATAACAATTATAGTAAACAAACACGGGGTGGTGTCTGGGTTCCGTTTGCATGTTTTCCCATATTATACAGGTTCCCTCCTTCAGTCTAAAAGACATGCAGTTCATTAGTGTATCTAAATTGCCTGTAATGTGTGATGTGTATATCTTGTGATTCCAGCTTTCTGCCCATAGTTCGCCCCTCTCGTGTGCCCTTTGCTGTCTGGCATGGGCCCCAGGAACAGCAGCTGGAAGATAGATCTGATATGTATCTGATAAATATTAATTCATATAAGAAAAAAATCTCCATTTATCCACTTCTGCCATGTTAAAAATGAAAGTTTACTTACAGTTATCCAAATATTTTCCAATTATTATTTTTTTTATCCATCCATCCATCCATTCAACTTCCATACCACCTTGTCCTATGCAGGGCCACAGGGGTTTTGGAGCTTATCCCGGGAACAACAAGCACAAGGCAGGGAATAACCCAAGCTTTTCTAACCTTGCAACTTATATTTTGTCTTTAACTTCTATGGTGTCTTCAAACATCTCCAAAAACCTGCAAACTAATCTTCAAACTTGATCAGGAATGACTGTTCCCCAGATTCACACATAACATCTGTGCTCTTTGTTTAATTATACATATCGTATGACTTGTGAGTATTTTACTAGTAACCATTTCAAACACGTTAGTATTAGTAAGGAGGAGTGAAGTAAGCAAGACCCAGCAAAGAAAATTAAAAGCATTAAAAAAGCATATAAATATTTGTCTAATATCAGTACAACAAAACCTCTAAGAGCATTTATAAAGTAAACATGTCTTAGCTACAAGCTGCTGTTTGAAAGTTTGCACTTTGATCCAACCTACATTCACTATCATGTTTTTCTGGCTCTGCTTGGTTCATGATTCACATTCACTAGAAGATATAGAACCAATCATAAGTGTGGTGAGTGTGGTTGAGGCAACTTTCACTCAAACGCAGGGACACCGCTAGAGATTTTAGGCCCCGTGAAAGCATATCATATTGGGCTCCAAACGCAGACCAATTCAGTTATGTTCCACATTAAATAGGGCCCCTGTCACTCAGGGACCCTTGGAATCATCCCATCTTCCCCCCATTACAGAGCCTCTGGTCGGATATCACAGAGTAGAAAGCAGTGCAATGAGGGCTGTACAATAAAGCCTGGAAATAAAGGAAATCAATCCCTTTCGACTTACAAAGTTAAGAACCCCCTGGTTTAAGGCAAAAGGTCAACTTGTAAAAAAAAATAACTTTAAGTCACAAAGAAATCTCAGGTAATTTTTCAACCTTCTTTGTACTGGTGGTGGAGCCAGTGTGCAAAGAACACCAGCTGGTGTTAGTGTTGTCAGAGCTGGTGTTAGTGTTGTCAGAGCTGGTGTTAGTGTTGTCAGAGCTGGTGTTAGTGTTGTCAGAGCCGGTGTTAGTGATGTCAGAGCTGGTGTTACTGTTGTCAGAGCCGGTGTTAATGTTGTCAGGCCCGGACGTACTCCAGCTGGAAAGGTATGGAGCAATGCAATTGACACTGTGTCACCATACTCTGCCTCAACTAAACTCGGTTTCACTGGCTCTGCTGATAATTGCGCTGGCAAAATCAGTAACAAATGGCAACAGTGTCTCACTGGTCCGGCGAAAGCAGGCAAATCCGGGTTCCCATAGGCCAACTTGGAGCTGTCCGATACATCAGATGCAGGTCACTGTCTCCCTCAGGGTCCCTCAAGCATCCATTGCTTCATGCATTTAAACTTATTTAATGTTTTCTGTTTTTAATTAAAAATAATTCTTTGTGATAAATAAGAACTTCACATTACCACCCCTACTGCTTCTATCAATGTTCAACTTAATAATTTTCACAAATGTTAAAAGGTCACATAGTGCATAAAAACATACCCATAAAGACATCCTGATACTTACTGTATGGTGGTGTTTACAGCACTGTGCAAAAGTCTTTGGCACTCAAAGGAAAATTGTTAACGTGGGTAGTAAGTGTATATGTGTTCAGAACAAAAACAATTTAACATGAGAATATATACAAAGTGATACAATATAAACTAATACTAATTTCTTCTGTAAAAAAAGTTACTGAAATCTTGCTGGATGGCTAGATGAACACTGCTTCAATTCCAAAATCTCTCCTCACGGGGACCTCAGCCATGTGTTTGTTAAATTTCACCAGAAGCTCACTTAATTAATTAATTTAATTAGTTTAGAAAGTCGATGAGGTATTGATTTGCTGTACAAGATGGGGTAGTGGTACAATCAAAAAAAAATACATGGGTGTTGTTGCAAAAACTGGGGTGACTTTAGGTGAGGTTTTGAATAGGTTAAGCTAACACACTATGACAGACATTATATCATAGTTTTACACCAACATGAAGATAATTTAAACATAATTTTCTTTGCCTAAGACTTTGGGACAGTGATGTATATGTACATGAATATGCAAGATGCAATATATATAGCTAAGACTTAAGTATTTTCTTTTACCTAGTCCCTACAAACTGCAAGCCAACTTCAAACTTTAACTTTTAACGCCATCCTGACAGGGTCGTGAATTTGTTTATACTCTCAAGAATCTTTAATGCTTCAGAACTGCTGTGGAGTCGGCTGATTCTGCACTTTTTCAGTACAGTGCCTCCACATATATTCAAATACTTGTATCCCCCCCCCCTCCACATATATTCAAATACTTGTATCCCCCCCCCACACACACACACACACACTTTTTCCAGTGGGATTGGAGGATGGGGCTATGGTTGGAGATGGGGTGGGGGGGTGTGGAGGGGGGTGGGGGCTTTCAGATAACGGTTTTTGATTTTTTTTTTAAGAATCATGTTCTGAAGCAGGGGAAAAAAGTAAACTTAGCATGCAAGTTCAGTATCATGCAAATGAGGAACGCTGCTGAATAATTTGCTTCAGATCTTTTCCTGATGAGCTCTGGGTTGATCGGAGTGTGTGTTGACTTTGACAATGCTCCGCAGGAATGAAAAGAGGGCAGAAGACAAGGAAAACCGACGGAGAGCCGCGAGGCCGAGCCATCAAAAGAGTTAAGAGGCCTAATTTCGCTTCCTTTTCCATCCAAATCGATAAACAGCTCAGACTCTAGTGAAGAATAATGAAAAAGTGTATTGTTTCAAAACACACAGCCTCCCGTGGGCGAATATTTGGCTGAACAGGTACGTTTGCAGCCCTTGTCCCACGGATCCATTTCAGCATCAGTACTTTAGTTTTGATGTTTGTATAAAAGTCACTAAACTCCTTAAAAATTCCGTAGATGTCACTGCATTCTGTTCTTGCACTGTGTGTGTGTGTGTGTGTGTGTGTATGGATTATGTTTATATTACATTGTGGGGACCAAATAAAAACCTGTTGTTTTGATGTTGTGGGGACCATTTTTCAAGATCTGTGAATGCAATCAAAAAACTAAAAATGGTAAAAGTCACATTTTGTTTGGTTATTTATGATTAAGGTTAGGGCTGGGTAGGGGTAAGGTTGTCGTTGTTGGGATTAGGGATTTTCCCATAGAAGTCAATGGATGGTCCCCATAAAGATATGAGTAGAGGTCTTTATGTGTATGTGTGTGCTTGTTTTTGGACAATTTTTTGCTAACTTTGAGCAAATATCGAGGAAACAAAATTAAAGAATATGTCCCTATAAATAAAGTAACTGCTAAAAAGCATGTTTTTAAAAAAATGTTCATTATGAGTTCTCATATCTGTTTGTTCATTTTTTTTTTGGTGGAATTAGGAATCAGTTTATTTACAGCCAGTGGGAAGTTCTCTGAAGATCTAAGCACAAATATGCATGTGTGTGCATCTGTGTACAAATTTTTAATGAAGGGGAAACTTTCAGCAGTTTAAACTACATTAAAAACCATCTGTCTTCCAACCATTTATTCTGGACAGGTATAGTTATAGGGTTTTTGGCAGGACATGTACACACACAGTCACATGCTACACGTGTCTTTGGACTGTGGAGAATAGGTTTTCAGAGGAAACTTATGCAACGCACAGAGAATGCGTCAACTCAAGGCAAACAAGACAGAGGTGGAATTCAAGCCTTTGATGCTGCATGGGAAAAGCAACACTGCCACTCACTGAGCAACATGCGGGCTAAATAAACGGCCCCACAGAAATATATTTGTGCTTTAGTCACAAAGAAAAAAGGTGACTTTAGTTCCCTCTTCCCCTCCGGTCCGGTGAGCTTTTCAAGGCTGTCTCCTTGCCGCGTTCCAGAGGATCATCGACCTAAAAGCCCAGCAAATCGCTGCCCCAACGATTGCTGGCATCAGTCCGGCCGAATCAAAACCTGGAATTATAGGAAGGAGGAGAGCAAGAAAAGTCAGTGTATAAGGAGACCAGTGGATCTCACTTCGGCCTTTTCCCAGTGATTGCAATCACCAGTCCACTTTCCCTCATATTCAAGTGTCAAAACTAAATGGAAACTAAATGATCACCTGCAGTAAATAAGAAGATGAATGTATTTTTAAGACATAGCACAAAGTACAATTTGCATTTATTACATTCTTAATATGTACTAACTTGTTTAAAATGGCAAATTTCACAGCAGCGGTAATTGCAGAATGTCTTGTAAAATTATACTGATTTTATCTTTTTAAATAAAATGGTAACTTCTGTATTTTGAGACCTTCTTACCGGCATGCCTTCATACACATGCCATGAAAATGGAACGCTGGTACCAACAGACTGACATGTTTTGGTTTAGATAATTTCTAAGTGTCATTCTGGGTTTCCTGGTGATTATAGCTGTCTGGGCAGGTGGTGTTTCTGTCCTTGGTTCATAACTGCCACAGTAATCCCAGCTGGTCTGGCACTGCTGTGTCTGCAGACCAGCTATACTAGTTGAATCAGTTGGCCTTAATTACTTCTTGATGAGTTCACATCATCATTAGTCCCCTTTTAAAGAGATTCCCAGTAAAAGGTCATCAAATGGTTTTTCAGGATTAATTTGCATTTGACCTTCACTTGATTTATATGTATAACAAAACTTGCTGATCTGAGTTGGGTCATATGCTGAAATGTACAATAATATTTGCTTTAAATTGCTTTGCGGGCGCACTTAGCCAAAGCAATACACAGTTTTTCTTCCATCTGTGTCGATGGAAACACAGTTGGAATCGTTCCACCACTGGAGCGCGACCCAGCAACGTTGCGGTTTTGACTTCAGGTCGTATCCCTGATGAGCATATGAGGGCTGCGGCTTGTGGCCAATGCCCTGTGTCTGCGGGGTTCCTGTTCTTCGTAGGCCGTTGCTTGTCTGGCCAATGGGAATGCTCTGCTGGGCCACATCAACCAATGCCTTCCCTCACCAGGTCTGCCAAGCTCTGGCACCACACAGCCACTGAGATATACATTACAGGGGATTAACAGCAGGGAGGAGTGAGGTGTTTCATCAGAGCGCTGCCTTTAGAATTTAAACCCTTCCTCTGTAACAATCTACTCCCTTTGCTTCAGCCGCCAGGATGATTTGGCTGGAAAGACCCTAGCATTGATCTTACACTTTTAAAAGGCTTTTTAGTTAAGGCCTTTATGAGGTGGATATGAGTCACAATCCTACACCTTTAAATTAAGAGGGTGAGAAAAAGAAAACGTTCTGCAGGACATGTCAAGGTGAATCTTTCCTTAACTCATCTCAAACGGCAATACGGGATACTTCGATCTCACGATAATCACCAAAAGACTGAAGTCTTCAACCACTGTTCAGGTTATGGATCAGTAAGTAGGTATTCTAGACTATCTCATCAGCAATGAACTGGATCGGATCTGACATTCAGTAAGTCACCGTGTCCACACCGGGATTCGGCCCTGTAATCAAAATACGGCCCTTGAAAGATTCCCTTCATTGTAGACTGGACATCTAACAGCATGCGAATTAGTTAAAGCGGCCTTGGTGTTGACCGCTAGTGTAGCAAGATGCCTTCAGCATCACTGATGGGCATGAAAGGCCATTATTGACCATGAGTCAATAGGACAGGCACTGGTCTCAAGTACTTTCAACAGATTGTCATAATTCGTGTGAGAGCGTAAATGCGTCAGGGCATTAGCATTGCTGTGATTCACTCCCAGGGAGAAGCAGGTGATGTTGATGCTGATAAACACGTGCATTGTCGCACTGCCATTGTTGCAGGGGGCTTAGCACTGAGGTTGGTCAATGTTGGGCTTGTGGAGGTGCGAGTGACAGATAGAACGCTTTCTAGATACAAGAATCTGCTTAGCATGTGTCGAGGGGCTGCCATGGCGGCTTGGCCGACAGTACTGTGACATCACAGCTCCGAGCTTGTGCTGAAATTCATGCTCATTGGAGGCTAACTTAACCAAAAATGTTTTGAGGGCAGAATGATTAGTTCAGAGAGATAACCAACCAGACTGTAGAGGAGGTGGGTCTGAGCGACTAGAGGAGGCGGAACCAACCAATCAGATGTTTTTGTTCCGCCTCGTCTAGTTGCTTGGACCCACCTTCTCTACAATCTAGTTGGTCATCTCTCTGAACCAATCATTGTTGCTTCTGCCTTCAGAACCTTTTTGTGTAAGTAAAACTCCCACGACTGAAATTCATCCCGAGCTCAGGTCTCTGTGCAGATTGTGAATGCTTTCCATGTTCATCTGGGTTTCCTCAGTCCTTAATACCCATTAAGGGCACAGATTTCCTTCTCTCAGCAAACCCCATGGACAGTTCTACATCATTCAATAATCACATTCCATGCTTTCACACGTCTCATATATGCCTAGCATAATTCTCATTTCAAAGTGCAGTGTTTGAGCAGGGAAATTCAAAGATATTTTAAGCTTTAGTAGCTGCAAGAAAAACATATAATTCAATACCAGACCGGATACTAGGTGCTTTAATGTTGCTATTTTTGTAATTTGATTTTACCCGTCCAAGTTATTGGTTATGTTCCACATAGTTAGAGCATTTTTCCTCTGCTTCTTCTTGGCATAGTGAAGGTTGTCAAAATGCATTTTAGCGTGTTTCCCCAAGGCACCCCTGCAAATAACCTCACGCTGAGCATTCACTTGATAATCAGTCCAGGCACATGCCCAACTAAACACTTATTAATTTAATAAGGGTGTCTGTACAGAATAATCAGCTTGTTGCTGACGGTTGTGAACATGTTCAGCAAAAGAGAGAAACCTTCAAATTGCTAGGACACATTTCTATCAATCACGGAGTAAAACACCACTACTGGTACCCTGCCTTTTAACACGATCTGTCAGCTGTCTTAGGACCACATGAAGAAAACGACAGTAAACACCATCAAAAGTGCAACATCTTTGAGCTCCCATTTAATGTGAGAGAGAAAAGCAGCCTTTCCCATAAGAAAGGTTTGCATGAAGATAGTCTCAAGTCAGTTGCACAAGAAATAATTACAGCGGACAGCCTAACGGGACAGAAACAAAATCAGCAATCTGATCAAAATGTGTACGTGCAACAAGTAAAAATGATCTAATGTGCCTGATTTGCTGGGAATTAGCGGTAATTAAATGATTAACTGGGATGACTCTCACGGCTGAATAATTTTTAAATGTGGTTTTAAATGGATCCTTTTAGAGATGGAAAACAGCGCGCATGGAAAAAAAATTGTGCTTAAATATTTAGGGCAGCCTTTGTTTTGGTACATTCAGATGAGGCTTACCCTGCATATTTAATTGATAGCAGCTTAGTAGGTTGCCTCACAAGTCCAGGATTACATGTTTGCATGAATTCCCAGCTCTGTGCGTGGATTTTGCAAGTCCCTCTGTCTCTCATATCTCTAATACATACCGTTCACCTTGATTTATCCATTACATGATGGAAGCATCCAGCCAACTCCGTCGCCATGACACCTACCCTGCCCCCCATGTAGGCTCAGTGCCTTCTGGAATCAGATAAGCAGATAAGCGGGTGGAGGGAAGGATGGATGGACTGATGGTAGGACGGATGGATGTCAATCATCCATAACTCACAGTTTCTCTGGGTATACAGCACTCCCAAAAACAGCATTCCACTGCAACCATTATTGGGTATCTACGCCATTGCTGTCTCATCAAATCTAGTTTTTTTATTATAATTTCTCAGCTACTCTTTTTAATGAGTCAGACAAGGACAATTAATAAGATAGGGGCATCTTCTCCTCATGCACCAAGTACCCATTGGTAATAGCCCCTTTACCCACGGGAATCTTTCTGATGTGCCCTCTGTTATTCGTTATGCACCCTTGTCTCCAGGAAACAGCCTTCTCGGAGAGAAATCTTTTCATCTTTATGTCGTTTTTTTATTGTTTTGTTTTGCCTCAAACTCCTCAAAGACATAAAACTTTGATTCAGGGGCTCAGGCATGCCGCAGTCTGGAGAGAGATTAGGCAGCGCTCTTTGGCGTAAATCAATTCACAATATATTAACAGGCTTTGTACGGCACGCACAGTTTGTCGTTTATCAAAACAAATGTGCGTGTCCCCATGGGTCTCTTGCCACCAGCGTGGTTCTTTCAGGCGCCTGTAGAGGCATCTAGTGGCCGACCTGAGTACTGCATGCACTTCGTGCGTTTCTTGGGACGGGGTTGGTTTGCTAAGGCTACAGAGCAATCCGCTCCAAGAAATGTATCTAAACTAAAGCTAGCGATCTCATGATGCACTGGGGCCACAAAGCCTTCTAATGTGACCTGTCTGCTGTATGCATAGATACATTAAACTGACATGGCAGTTGAAAGACTTCTCCCTTTGTAAGGTCACATATCTGAACAAGTTCACTACGCAGGGCCTACCCTGCCCTGTAATCCCTTTGGCATTTCTGTGGGCGTAACTGTGCACACAAGAGGCACCGCAGGAACAAGTCAAAAAAAAAAAAAAAAACTTGCTGCTTGAAAACTGCCTGTGTGAATTCTTTAGGAAACTTCCACAACTTATTTCTCAGACTGCAGAAGCAACTGTGTCCATGACCATCCGTAGGGCAATAAAACCTGGCAGATGTTTCCCCAAAGAAATCAGTCCTCTCCTGTAGTGCAGCCACTCTGTTGATGTATTCATGAAAGTTTTGTGTCTATTTGCTTTTTTTCCGCTGTATGGGCAACCTTCACCAATCCCCTGTCTCCCTGACCCTACCAAATCTGAACACAAATGTGGTTTAGACTTAGTAGCAAGAGGTGGCACAGTCAGGGGTGTAACTTAAGAATTTTTGCTACTAACCAGCTGGGCTAGTTTAGTTAAAAAAAATCTAGTATGACATACAATTTTTTCTAGCCAGCGGGCTACTGCTTAGGTTTGTGTACTCGCCCTTTGTCTAAATGATTTATCTCAGGTGAGTGGGCGAGCT